TCAGACAGTAACCAGCATGAAAAATGAGCTTATATCATAATCTCCAAACGTTTTCAGATTGGGTTTGGTTATTACTTAGATATGTGTTATGTTCTGCTTTTCAAATATCGATTTATATGAATAATGCATAGCCATATTTCCCTTTGTTATTAATCACTGGAGATTTGCCGAACATCGATTATGATTCCATGAGCTGTTTTTTCACCCTTAGTGTCTCCTTTAGGGGGTGAGGTACTGGTGGCTGCGACTAATGTTGATGAAAGTGTCTTAATTGTGGCCTCTGTTTGTCGGACATCAGCTACTGGGTTTGTTTCATCTGGGATGCAATGGTGAGCAAAATAGGCCGCACATATGTATGCAAAAGGAATTTAGGATGTTGATGCAATGTTTCGCATCTATGTTCAGTAAGTATGGTGTAGTAGATCAAGAATCCACTTTGTGGTAGCTGAGATGAGAAGGTATAGCAGAGTCTGCAATCGCTTTGATCTCCTTTCATGTTTTTTGCGTGCTCTGTTGTATGAGCTTCTGTCACCTTGACGATTTTTTAAGATTTGTGAGGTGCCTACTCTGTAGTCTGTAGTTGTGCAGGCTCTTCTCTCTTCCGTGGCATCCTCCGTTAGAAGTGTCTAGGTAAGTCTTTTTGTATTGGTTGCTGCATTTTTCTACAGCTTTCCTGTTTTTGTCTTTCTGTATGTTATGTCATTCTTTCTTAAATCAATTTCACCTTTATTTCCTAATATAATTAAGGGTTATAGGTATAATATGCCCCTCTACTATGTCGTTTTATCAAATATGCCCCTCTACTATTTTGTAGATCAAACATACCCCTGTAAAATGGAAAAATTATCAAACATGCCCTTCTGTTAAAATTTTCATCCATAAACCGTTAACCATGACCAAACTTTAGTTTGAACCGCACAAATGTCTAAAATATCCCAATAATTTCACTTTAGAATTTTTTTTGGTTCTTTTGTATAGCAAAATAATCCTAATAATTTCACTTTGATGAGACCCAGAGAAATAAAACAAGAGACAAAACTGATATTTTCCCTACCATTTGCCGTTATCGGGTCGTCTAAATCTCGGTTCAACCATTATTGACGATTTTTTCAATGAAAAATTTAATAGAAGGACATGTTTGATAATTTTTCCAAAGTATAAGAGCATGTTTGATGTAAAAAATAGTATAGGGGCATGTTTGATAAAACGACATAGTAGAGGGCATATTATACCTATAATATAGGTGTCAAAACATAGCCCGACCCGATTAACTCGCCCGATCAACCCGACGCGCAACCCGAATTGACTAAAAGTCAACAACCCGTAACCCGCCCGACCCGCAACCCAACTAACCCGCAACCCGACTAACCCGCAACCCGATTAACCCGAACCCGATTGACCCGCAACCCGATTAACCCGAACCCGACTAACCCGTAACCTGACTGACTCAACCCGAATTTCTTCTAATCCACTTGAATAATTATAAAAATATACAATACATAGTTTTTGAAAATAATTTTTTTCATTCTAAACTTAAGTAAAATTATTTTTTCATTTCGTATAAGAAATTTTCAAAATATGAAACCCACTTGATATTACGTATTTTAAGAAAATTACAAAAATTGAAACATGAAGGTCACTTGAGATCATGACAATATTAATATAATATATAAAAATTTAAATTTTGGTTAATTTAACTATTCAATAAAATTATCAATTAAATATAAATAAAGTAAAGTAATGTATTTGGTAATTTGATGTTTTTAAAAGAAGAGGAAAATTTTGCTGTATTCAAGTTTTTGGGAAGATAAAGAAGAGGGAAATTTGGTTCTTTGAATTTTTTAGAAAAGAAACAAATGAGAATTTTGGTGGTTTTGATATGTGGGAAGAGAAAGAAGTAGGAAAGTTTGATTCTTTTGATTATGAAAGAGAAATAAGGAGGAATTTTGGTGGTTTTGACGGTATATGTTCACTTGAAGTCATTTGAAGTCTTTAACAGCAGGAGATCTCTTTTTAATTTATGTTTATGGTACGTGGTTAGGGTACAAGGTATGTGGTGTAAAGTATAGGATATATGGTTAGGGTATAACAATTAGCAAATATCACTTTTTATCTATGTTTTGAAAATCAAAGTAAGAATTTCACTTTTAAATTAACTATACTAGCAAAATCACAACTCAAGGACATATGGTTAGGGTATAGGTTATGTGGTTAATGTATAATGTATTGATGGTTTAGGGTATACAATCAACAACATATACTATAATATTGTTGATTGAGGGTAAAGCTAAATGTATATGATATATGCTATTGAGTAAGTTATGATTGAAGTCACAATAATTTTACTAAATTTGATAGCTAATCTTTAATGGTTCAATTTTTAGGATAATTCGAACAATTTTACAAATAACTCGTTTGGCAACAGTTTACTAAAGTTATTTGGGCAATGAGTTATTTTGAAATAACTCCTTTTTCACTATGCTTTTGCCAAATACCACACGCCAAATACCAGATTTGCATGGTTATACTAAACGAGATACTTTAATCCAATTACTACTGAATTAGTACTAAAATATCAAATAAACAATTAACAGTGTCTTTTGATTGCAAATATTGATATCACCATTACTATTAGCTATAATACTTTACCAATTATGATTATTTACATAACAAGTTTGCAAGTCATACAAATTCATTCAACATTTTGACTAGTTTTTTTCAAAAAAATAGCGTATATATATATACGAGGTAGAAATAAATTGGTTAAAAAGTTGAGAAAATATTTTAAAGTAGTGTAATAAAATGTGTAAGTTGGTAATGAGTAATGAGTTAAGTTACTTGATGCGCTGGCCCGAACAACCCGAAACCCGATCCGCCCGCAACCCGCCCGACCCAAAACCCGATGAACCCGCAACTCGATTTGCCCGCAACCCGATTGAATCCGAACCCGATGAACCCGCAACCCGTTTGAACCCGAACCCGATGAACCCGCAACCCGACTAACCCGCAACCCGTTTGAACCCGAACCCGATTGAACCCAGACCGAACCCGCCCGATTGACACCTATACCTATAACCTGTAATTAAAGTGATAAATAGAGTTACTGTTACATAAGAGATTTGCTAACTTATGCACATGTTACTTTCCTTTGCTCACAGCCATGGCCAATTCTTTCTCGTGCTGCTACAGTGATAAATCATGAGATTCAGTTTTTGACATTTTCTCCCATTATCCCTCTCCATTTTCACCAATAATCAATCTTTCAATTCGGTTTAGTTGGTTGACACGATCTAATAATTGAGTTGAGGATTAGTAGTTCGATCCTTTTAGTCAAGTTTAACCAAGTTATCATTAGAGTATTTTGTGCTAAAATCGTAGTTCAACCGTGGTTAAATCAGGCTTGACATGTTGCTCTAACCTGAGCCTCGATTTATGTCCAGAAAAACCAAAAATTGTAAAACCATATCTAAAATCCTACCAGAAAAGTTCGCATTAAAGTATTTTATGCTAAAATCGTAGTTCAACCATGGTTAAAGTCAGGCATGACACGTTCCAACCCGAGTCTCGATTTATGTTTAGAAAAAAATCAAAAATTGTAAAATCATACCGAAGGTTGTACCGCACAAGTTAGCATTATGGTATTTTGTGCTAAAATCATAGTTAAATCGTGGTTAAAACATGCTTGACATGTTACTTCAACCCGAGCCTCAATGCATGTTCAACCAAAAATTGTAAAAAGATACATAAGGTCGTACCGAAAAAGTTAGCATTTGGTCATTTTGTGCTAAAATCGTATTTTAATCGAGGTTAAATTATTTCATATAGATAAAATCACCTGCTGATTTAGATTTCGTTAATAGTTTTTCTATTGGGCCGTCATTACAGTACACTCGTAGTTGACACGTTGTAGGTCCTTTCTCAACGTGACAATGGAAGTGGGGAAAGGCCTTTGGTTTAGGCCTGACACGTTACTCTAACCCGAGTCTCGATTTATATTTAGAAATATAAAATTGTGAAAGCACACCGAAGGTTATATTGGAAAACTTAGCATTAGGGTATTTTGTATTAAAATCGTAGTTCAACTATGCTTAAATCAGGTTTGACACGTTACTCCAACACGAGCCTCGATTCATGTTCAGAAAAACAAAAAATTGTAAAACCATAGTGAAGGTCATACCAGAAAACTTAGTATTATGGCATATTGTGCTAAAATTATAATGCAACCGTATTTAAATCAGTCTTGACACATTGCTCCAACCCAAGCCTCAATTTATGTTAATCAAACCAAAAATTGTAAAACTATACCTGTAGCGGAAAAGTTAGCATTATGGTATTTTATGCTAAAATCGTAGTTTAATCGTGGTTAAATCAGACTTGACATGTTCCTTCAATCCGAACCTTATATTTTGCACTAAAATCGTAGTTCAAACGTGATTAAATAATTTTATATAGCTAAACCTACTGATTTAGATTATATTGGGATTTTTTTATAATGGATCGTTGCTAAAGGCGGTCATAAATCAAATACGGGTTTGCAACAATACATCTAATATTATGAGAAGCTGCTGCGAAGCACGGCACAAAATCTACCTAGTACATATAAAGAAAAAAATGATTCTATGAGCAGCTGTCATTCTTTATGATACGGATAGCTTCTTCCTACCAATGGGATTATTTTTGTATGGGGTTTGGAGTTCATTTGTTTCATGATGATTTATTTGGAGTAAACTATACTGAATTACCTCCGCACATTAGACAATTTACCATTGAGGGATTTTATGGTGATCACCAAAATTATTAACATAGTCAAATAATGTATGCAAGAAAATATAAAATACATGGTTACAAACACAAAATATATTTCCAACCAAAAAATAAACCACATCCACCAATTCAGTCGTTCTGTAGCGGAGCGCGGGCCATATATCTAGTAATAATAAAAGAAGCAATCAGACATAAGACTACAATCATATAAATGAGCTTACTGATACCGGCAATTACCCATTTATACCTGTTTGTACCATCTAGCTCGAGGCAGTAACAATAATTATTTGTTGTTGTGGGCTTGACTCATGATCCGGTCGTCTGATCTCGTCGGGAGGAAAAGAACATGTGGAAAGTGGGGGATGCCCCCCGGATTAAACTCCGATGATCAAGTCAGTATATAGTTTAGAGTGAGTTCAGAGAGTAATGTAGAGAGATAAAGTGTAGAGAGAGAGCCAAGGTGAAAAGTGAGGGAAGAGAAGAAGTGCCCCCTACCCCCTCTTGGAGGGTTTCATACCATATATACTCGTAGCGGGTTTCGAGCGTCATACCTTATCGATTGGACGCGCTATTACTTAGTTTGTGCGCGGAGTATCTTAGTAACACCCCCAACAATTGCCCTTCCTCCCCCCCCCCCCCCCCTCAAGCTAGTGGTGAGTTTTAACTCATCGCTAGCTTATTATTTTTTTTTTAAATCTTCATCGATAATTTTGGATGGAGCCCTATGCAGCCCAGCTTCCCCCCCAGCTGGTGGCGCGTTTGGCTGAAGCGGTGCCAGCTTCCTTCGTCATGCCCCCCTGTTGGTGTATTTCATTAAGCCGTTGAGCACTCTTCTATTGGAATTATTCACACACACACAAGTGTGCCCTCTTTCATTGGTACGCTTGTGATAGCCGCACGATTACGTTACGGGGTTACCGCGCACGTTTAGTGTCCTTTATTGGAGATAGAGTTAGTTGAACACTCTCATATTGTAGATTTACCAATCCTCTTATCGAAGTCTTATTTGTGTGCTTTCAGTCGAGTCTTACATGAATGGAGGTAGTCGAGCTCTCCCATATTGTAGATTCACCAATGCTCTTATCGAAGTCTTATTTGTGTGCTTTCAGTCGAGTCTTACATGAATGGAGGTAGTCGAGCGCTCCCATGTTGTAGATTCCCCAATGCTCTTATCGAAGTCTTATTTGTGTGCTTCAGTCGTGTCTTACATGAATGGAGGTAGTCGAGCGCTCCCATATTTGTAGATTCACCAATGCTCTTATCGGAGTCTTATTTGAGTGCTTCAGTAGAGGCTTACATGAATGGAAGTAATCGAGCGCTCCCATATTTGTAGATTCATCAATGCTCTTATCGAAGTCTTATTTGTGTGCTTCAGTCGAGTCTTACATGAATGGAGGTAGTCGAGCACTCCCATATGTGTAGTCGAGCGCTCCCATAGCGGCAGTGATGTTATTATTTTTTATGAGCTAAGTGCTTATTGGGCTTGGTGGGACTGCAACACTTGTACGAAGCGGGCCGAGGGACGGGTTGGGCCTCGAAAGGCGGATCGGAATGGTGGACATGGGCCAAGAGTGGAGTCATGTCCGCTTGTTGGATCCGCTCCCTGATTTGAAGCTAGTTGTTGCTGGTGGAGCGGGCCGCAAATGAGGCGCAAAGGGAGATGGGGCGCGGCGCCAGTTGATTATAGTTTCTATATAGGGTAAAGTCTATATAGGTTTGGAGTGTTGTAGATGGATTGGAGTATAGTATGGATATAGTTTTCACACTCTAAGTGCACATGAGTTGAGTATGAATACCCATTTACTTGAGTTTGTTTTAACTACACATAAAAAATTGAACCTATCTGTAAAAATTAATAAGTTGAGGTATCAAAATGAAATTCACAAAAATTTTATGTACCAAAGTGTGTTTTTCATAAAATGTTTAAATTTAGATACTAAATCCAACATCTTTTCAGTTTAGCTACCAAATCATAATTTTCATATGTATATGGGTACAAACCCAGATTCATAAATTAAAAATCCAACCCAAATAAGCAGAGATGCGTATAAACCTATCAAACTCTAGCCATTTATTTTGTATTTGAGTTTCATACTCAACCCAATTGAATTGGATAAGGAGATACTTATGAATTTGGACAAAATTGTGATCCTAACTCACTATCCTAATAGTTACCTTTGCTATTTCTTAGTACCATCCTAATCCTTCTCGTAGTCGTTAATTTGGTTCTCCTTTCCATCTCATGGTATGCATTTACTCATGATATGAGGAAAGCAGAATTTCCATAATATGAGGACTCTTACAATAGGATTCATACCAAGCAAGAGCCACCTTTCAGGAAAGTTTGAGAACTTTCACCCCAGGACCAAACAAAGATCGCTCGAACTCTTCCCAACCAGCCTATACCTTGTACACATGTTCTCCATCAACATGGTGACGAGAATCTTGATAGCAGCTGAAGTATCGTATACTCAAAGCACCCATAGGATTGAGGGAGAGTGATTTCAAAGTGAGAATGAGAGTGAGAGCTTATGAATATTCTCGTGGCTTGGCTTAAAAAAACATTTTAAACAAAATGGCAATAACCACAAAAGAAACAATTTAGTTCAAATAGCACCCATTTTCCTCAAGCGAGGCTTTGATTTCTAAAATTGAGTTCCCATTATACTTTTCAAAATGAGATTTTTCAAACATTGTTTGCAATCTTCTTAAGTCAAGATAGGTAAAAGTTGCACTTTGTTCCGAAGAACAGAAGGCAAAGAACATATTCTCAAGGGAAAGATAGTGCCACAGAAAAAAGTGGTTATCCAAACCCCTTAAATCATGATTAGACGGGAAACCTCATTGATCTTGAATCATTTGTTCCAGCTACCCAATCTGTCAATCAAACTATCCTTCAACTAAATATTTTTTTTACCTCATACCTCTCGGTGAAATCAATCAAGCATGTCTAGAAACCGACATCAAAAAGACAATACCCCGAGATGAAAAATTCCTCTTAGCCAAGCATGACATACTCGCATAGCAAGAATATCAATCAAACTAAAAGAGCACGTTATCCGAGGCCACCATGCTACAAATGCCTCCTACAAAATCAACCTACCAATAAGAAGATTGTATGGCTAACACACCAGCCACGCAAGCACCGAGGTCCAAGGTGGAGAAAGCAGAGGATCAACCTTTTATTAGTCCCCAAAATGACATGCATTGGCCTCATTGAGGAGACAAAGAGGAAACACTATATGGCAAGCCCAATACCTCGAGATGATGACTCACGCTTGAAGGAAGAAAGTACCTACTGGAGACACCCATGCTGCTCCAGCGTGAGCACAACTAAGGAGCAAGTTCAGTAAAAGAATGACGTAGTTCCTTGTGGATGATCGTTTTAAGAGAATCCATGAAAAAAATATCAAAGCCATTATTAAGGGTCTTACTCTTCCCTTTGCATATTTTTCAAGACATCATCATATAACTCCTCATATATGCATATACATCAAACATATCGCATGCGTCATTTATTAGATGACTAATTACAAGAAATTCAAAGATAAATATTAATATTTATTAGTGGGCATAGCTTTCCATCAACATATCTCACCGCGACATTGCAACACATCATATCAAAAAATATCTTGCATTTGCACATCATATTGACTTCAAATTCAAATCTTTACCAATATCAAGTTTGGCACATACCTAAGATCTACCTAAGACTCTACCAATTGCTTGTTTCAACCACTCATGTCAAGCACAAAAAATCTATACCGCTTGTGATCAAGTTAAACTTTCACATATCCTCGTGAATTTTACCATCATGATACACATGATCAAACAGGCTATGCCGCCACGAAAAAATTCAAATCAAGCTATATCGCCACGAACAAAAACCTCGTTTAGGCTATACTGCCATGGGAACAAGATAGAACCAAATCAGGCTAAACCGCCATGGATAAAAAATCCCGAATCAGGCTCTACCACCACGGGGCCACAATACCCAAATCAGGCTATACTGCCATGGGAACAAGATAACCAAATCAGGCTATACCGCCACGGGACCACAAAACCCAAATCAGGATATACCGCCACGGGACCACAAAACCCAAATCAGGCTATACCGCCATATGAACAAGATAAAACCAGTTCAGGCTATACCGCCACTCGACCACAAGTAAACCAACACAAGCTATACCGCCATACAAAAAAAAACAACATGGGCTTCATCGCCACACAAACACTATACTAAAAAACAAAAGTAGGTTATACCGACATACGAAAATCAAAGCAGGCTATACCGTCATACAAAAACCAAAATCAGGCTATAACTCCATGGATAAAAACACAAATCAGGCTATACTGCCACAAGAAGCACACCCAAACCAGGATATATCGGGGCTAGAAAATCCAAATCAAGCTATACCGCATGAGAGATAACATACCCTAATCAGGCTATACTGCTATGGGAGCACACCTAAATCAAGCTATACCACCATGGGAACAGAAACTCTAAACCAATCTATAATGCCACAAGAGCAAACAAACCCAAAATCATTGCTATATCACACTGTTTCTCTCACATATATTCCATAACACGACATTATAATTCATTAACATTACTCATCCCATGATTGTCTCGCAAAATACTCTCATACTCATTATCACCATGCATTTAAATGTCTAGCATGTCATATCCCGGACAACCCCAGAGCTTCGCCGTCAATAAATGTTTAGCATGTCATACCCTGAACAATTTGATTGCATTGCTATTAACATATCTAGCTTGTCATATCCCGGACAACCCATCGCATTGCCATCAATAAAAGTTCAGCCCGTCATATACCTGAACATCTTGATTGCATTGTCAGTAAAAATGTCTAGCGTGTTATATCCTGGACAACCCTATAGCATTGTCATCAATAAATGTTTAGTATGTCATACCCCGAACATCGTGATTGCATTGTCTATTAAAATCTCTAGCGCGTTATATCCCGGACAACCCTATAGCATTGCCATCAATAAATGTTTAGCATGTCATATCCCGAACATCTTGATTGCATTATTTGTAAAAATGTCTAGCGTGTTATATCCCGGACAACCCTATAATTGCCACCAACAAAAGTTCAACTCGTCATACCCCGAACAATGTGAATATATTTTTTTTATTTCAACTTGTTATATCCCGGACAACTTGAGTGCTTTCTTATGCCATCGTTCAATTTGTTTAGCTAGTTTTATCCCAAACAACTTGAATGCATCATCATAACCAAACAATTGACCCGTCACTATTAGTGACAAAATGCGGTGTCTTAAAAAGAGCTTTGTATACCTCACGATACCAAGAGATATACGAAGGGGGGCAACTGTAGACACCACTTTTTGTCCGGGCTAAAACATATATTTAATTAAATCTATTTAGTTTTTATTTAAGGTTTGCAATAGCAAATCATATTTTTTGTGCTGGGAATGGGTATTGTTTGCCATAACTCGATTGAGATTAAGCAATAGCAAATCTCGATCGATGTAATTTGATAGTGAGAGTTGACCTGTTTAGCTCCGATTGGACAAAATAAGCATTCGCTCAATTCATTTATCACGTGAATTGAGATGTCAGATTGGTACTTAAGACATTGTGTTTGCCAAAATTGGACCTCGACTTTTGAAACGATAAAAGAAAAATAACAAAGTAAACTTTTCTATTTTTCAAAGTATCAATAAATAAAAATTACATTACAAGCCTATTACAATCAGTTCTATAGGAGTGCTTAACATAAATAAAAGTACAAACCCATTTCTAAAAGTCTATGCCTAGCCCAGCCAATTTACCCAATCAACTCGGGCCAGGCCCATATCCAGGTCAACAGAAGTCAACTCCAATCTCACACACCAGACCCAATGACAGATCTGGCCCAAACCTAATCTGATCGACCAGACGGGTTGAACCAGAGTGACCTGACCAGACCCAGCACCACCGCCTCTATTTCCCTATAAAAGGAGGCCCACTCTTCCTCCAAAAGGATAGAGAGGGACGATAGGAACGCCACTCATCATGTTCTTCATCTTCCTTTTCCTCTTCTCTTGCCTTTTTCTTAGAAATACAAACAGATTTGAAGTGAGACACAGAAATACAAACTCTCCTCTCTTTCCTTTCTTTTCCCGACAAAAAAACAGCAAAGAGAGAAAAACACGGAGGACTACTGTCCGCTTTTTCTTTTCTTCCCCGCAAAACAGAGAGAGATCATTTCCACTTCTTTTCCTTCTCTACTGCCAAAAATACACAAAAAAGAGACAAAAATTGCAAACACAGTAGAGAGAGAGGGAACAGACTTCGAAACTCCAGCTCAGCAAAAGACAAGTGATGACTCAGTATTTGCACATGTTTTCCCCTTTGTTTCTTGATTTTTTGAGCTTGAATTATTGCGTATTTGTCCTATTTTATGCTAGGTTGTGTTCCTTTGTCACATTTCAGGTCCTAGCACATAAAGTGAAGCATAGGCGCAAATTTCAAATCAATCAGAGATCAATTGACGATTCGGGAGAAGAAACTCGGGCATGTCCTGAAGAAGAATGGATTTCTACCTCAATTTATGGACAAAGAATCATGCAAGCTTGTCATGAAAAGAAAGAGGACGAGACTACGAGCGTCTTGGATCAAACGGGGACTGATTCGGAGTCTGGACGAGGGAGAAACGAAGCATTAAACAGAGGCTGAGCAAGCCACACGGGCATCCTGGAACTCCACACGGCCGTTTGGGTCGTGGCCGTGTGGAAATCACCGAGCCTTCACACGGGCAGCTGGGACAGCCACACGGCCGTGTGGCCTGGCCGCGTGATCGGGAATTTCTGTTTAAAACTCGATTTTCAGCCAAAGGAAATGGGAGAGCTGGGTTTTGGTTCCCAAACACCCAAGGGACGAACCCTAGAGAGAGAGCGACTTGGGAACATTCTTGGAGCTATTTTGGAGGATTTCTTCACCATTGGAGCTCAAGAATCAAGCTTGGAGATGGAGATGGAGATGGAGATTGAAGATCTAGATCAGATTTCTGCAGTCTCTCTCTTCTCTATGGAGTAACTTCCCTTCACTTAGGTTTTGAGGAACCCTAGTTCCATGTGTTAGGATCTTTCTTGTATGAAGTTTTGGATGCTATATTGTTTGATTATAATCGATTGAGGCATGATATATTGAGTCAATTGAATCTTGATCAAATTCACTTGATTTCTGCTTTAACCTATGATAGATAGAATCTGATTAGGTTAAGAGAGCTTCCTTGATTGATGGTGGTGAATTGGTTATACGAGAGTTAGTCAATCTACTACTTTATACTATAATCCAATTCCGGTAGTGGAGTTCTGTGTTCATAGCCTCAGCTTTCTATCCCGGTGAAGGTTAGTCGCCTGCCGGGTAGTTGGACTGAGAGGGCTTGGTCAGCTTAAGAGATTCCAAGCTACTGTCGGATCTTCCGCAGTTTAATCAACAGTAGATCAACCAAAGGTAATTGCAACTTGGACCTAATTGAGGAGCTAGGGGGAATCATACCTAAGTGAGTTCACAACTTGTAATTAGTAGAGTAGTCAGTAGAGTAGTTTATAAATCAATCCTTAATCTAGTTTGCTAGATAATGAACTGAAGCTGAGTAATAGTAACTCTAGAGACCCGGGGATTCGATATTTATTACTTGTGCCACTATACTGCGATCCCTTTCATTGGTTACACTTGGCCATTATTAGGTGTTGTGTTTTAGCGTGTCAAGTTTTTGGCGCCGTTGCCGGGGATTTTCTAGAGTATTAGGAAAGGTAGAAGTTTGTTACTTTAGCGTTTTTCTTTTCTTTTCTTTTCCACCCTTGCTTTTCACTTGGGTGCTTTTGTTTTTGTTGGTGCAGATCTGAATCATGGATCCTCATGGCTTCTCCAACAATTGGGGGTATCCACCACCACCCGAGTGGTATTACCCCGAGACTCCCTGGAGCAATCAAGGAGGAGAAGACTATGGATTCGGGTTCCAGTACCAACCCCCTTACTACGGAGAACAACCGGACCCCTGGGCATATCAAGAAAAACCTCATTACCAAGAAGAATTTCTCCCACAACCACAAGGGCCATCGACGCTGGAGTTACCCATGGCGGCCTTTACGGGCCATTCTGCAAAGCCATGCTACACTCCACAGCCTGATCCAAACTATGAATTGTGGCTTCTCATGGAGCAGTTTGCTCGAGACAGTGAGAGAACATGCTCCAGGATGGATCATTGTGTCCAGGCCTATCATGAAACAGAGGAGATCCTCCTGAGCCTTAAGAAGAGCGTCGATGATCTTGAGCGATCTTGTGCACAACCTGCTCCCGATCACCCTTCTGCTACCATACTAGAAGAGGAGGAGGAAGAAGAAGACTACAAAGACATTGTCGAGCACACTAAAGTTGTCACGGAGAGCTCCCGTGATGATCATGATCAGGAATGTCCTTTCATAGCCGACCACACCTTCCAACATCCCAAACTGAGCTTTGAAGAGGCGGGCATGAGTGAGGAGATGCAAGAAGATCTCATGAAAGAAATTGCTTGGCAGCTTGCTCTCCAATCCGTGCTAGAAGAAGAAGCGCAAGAAAGGGTGCAGAAAGAAGTTGTGGAGGATGCCGAAAGTGAAGCAGAAGGAGTTCTTGATCATTTCCCAGGGGTGATACCACATGAAGAAGAAAGGGAGGTCGAAGAAGCAATGGGCGTCCAGGCTGAGGACGAAGTTGAGGTGGAAGAGGCTTGCACTGGCTATGAGTTACTTGTGATATCTCCACCAAATTTCGAGGAGTTGCTTGGCAAGGACCCATTTGCAGTGTCTCTTTGCCAGACCAAGGCCACATCGACATCGGTCCCTCTTGGTGGACGCGATGGTGGTCAATCGATGTTGTCATATATGGTTTGGAGCAATGAGACGAGAGAAGATAAGAAGAGGTCTCGAGGATGGAGACTTCATCTGCATCAAGTGCACGAGCTTCCATCACCAGTCATACCACATGCTCGTGACTTGAGACTCCACCTCATTGACGAGAACCTCAACTTCAAGGAGGTTCTAGCATGGACCGAAACTTAGGAACCATCGTCTGGCTCACGACGTGAAAGAAGCGCTTGTTGGGAGGCAACCCAACCAGTCGGTTTGAATTTCTTTCTCTATTTCTCCTCGGTTGAGTCAGTTTTGTTATTTGATTTTAAAGTCAATAACTCAACCTTTGTGAGATTTTGTGTGGTGTTTGCGTTCTGATTACTCTCTCTTCCTGGAATGCACCGCCTGACCAGTCCATCATCATTCACCCTGGATCTGGTAACTTCGTTCTACCCTCCTTATCTTTCCTCCATTGAGGACAATGTCGTGCTTAAGTGTGGGGGTTGTTCGATTATGTATGCGGGTGAATGTTTGGCTGTTTGTGTGCTTGGAGCCTAGTCCACTGTCCAAATTTTTAAATTTGAGGGCTCCAAGTATGTGTTTCCTTGCAAATTGCCTGCTCAGTATGCTTTGAATCGACTTCTCTATAGTAATGTGCAACCTAGGGAGGTAGTGTAGCACTATGGAGGAGGTTGAAGTATAAGATTTTTCCTATCTAGCTCTCTGTTGTGCCAGTTGATTTTGTGAAGTAGTGGAGCTAAGACCGTTGAATTCATGTGGTAATGGTGACTCTGTTTGGATTGTGTTATGGACTCGTGTATCGAACAGGGTGCTCATATGGAAAATGGGAAGCAGTTGGTCCTCCATGTCGAAATCATTGAAATCTTAAACATGGGGTAAGCCCAACGTGTGTGGCACCGTTCATTGCACAAAATCGGGTTTTGGAAGAGATTTTAGTGATTCTTAGTGGGGTACTCCTACAAGGTGAAGCTAAGCTGTCTCTAGTACAAGTAAAATTTTCACCCGTTGAACGGTTTGGCTACTTGAGGATGTGTTTTTAAGGGCACGGATAGAGCTTCCGACCCCCCTTGATTTCATTGACCCTCCACACGAGTTGAGGAAAAGGAGTTAAAAGAAGTACTCTAGCGAGCGCTAGATGTACAAAAATTGCTCTTGCTCGACTAATAAGGGTCGACCGTGCAAAAGACTGCAGTTGGAACCCCCGCCAAGTGAATGAAGAAAAAAGAGAAAAAGAAATGTAAATGAAAGTGCAAAAAGGGGTTCCAACGGTGAAATGAAGTGAAAGAGCACCCCGGTACAACGAGTCCTTGGTTGTGAATGGTGTGAGTCCCTTTGTCCATGAACTGACTGTCTTACTTCTACTTCTTCTCATGTTCCTGGCTTGAGTCTAGTACTCGCATTGAGAGAGATAGGGGACGTCTTAGAAGACCAATTGACCTCGTAAGCTGCTATATGATCTAGGAAATCTACTATCGACAATCGGGGTTGTTTGTTGCTATAGAGGTCTGGAGAGCTGCATTGGTTTAAGTTAGGTTTGCTTGGGGACAAGCAAACAGTTAAGTGTGGGGGGATTTGATGACTCGGTATTTGCAAATGTTTTCCCCTTTGTTTCTTGATTGTTTGAGCTTGAATTATTGCGTATTTGTCCTATTTTATGCTAGATTGTGTTCCTTTGTCACATTTCAGGTCCTAGCACATAAAGTGAAGCATAGGCGCAAGTTTCAAATCAATCAGAGATCAATTGACGATTCGGGAGAAGAAACTCGGGCATGTCCTGAAGAATAATGGATTTCTACCTCAATTTATGGACAAAGAATCATGCAATCTTGTCATGAAAAGAAAGAGGACGAGACTACAAGCGTCTGGGATCAAACGGGGACTGATTCGGAGTCCGGACGAGGGAGAAACGAAGCATTAAACAGAGGCTGAGCAAGCCACACGGGCATCCTGGAACTCCACACGGCCGTTTGGGTCGTGGCCGTGTGGAAATCACCGAGCCTTCACACGGGCAGCTGGGATAGCCACACGGCCGTGTGGCCTGGCCGCGTGATCGGGAATTTCTGTTTAAAACTCGATTTTCAGCCAAAGGAAAGGGGAGAGCTGGGTTTTGGTTCCCAAACACCCAAGGGACGAACCCTAGAGAGAGAGAGCGACTTGGGACATTCTTGAAGCTATTTTGGAGGATTTCTTCACCATTGGAGCTCGAGAATCAAGCTTGGAGATGGAGATTGAAGATCTAGATCAGATTTCTGCAGTCTCTCTCTTCTCTATGGAGTAACTTCCCTTCACTTAGGTTTTGAGGAACCCTAGTTCCATGTGTTAGGATCTTTCTTGTATGAAGTTTTGGATGCTATATTGTTTGATTATAATCGATCGAGGCATGATTTATTGAGTCAATTGAATCTTGATCAAATTCTCTTGATTTCTGCTTTAACCTATGATAGATGGAATCTGATTAGGTTAAGAGAGCTTCCTTGATTGATGGTGGTGAATTGGTTATACGAGAGTTAGTCAATCTACTGCTTTGTACTAGAATCCAATTCCGGTAGTGGAGTTCTGTGTTCATAGCCTCAGCTTTCTATCCCGGTGAAGGTTAGTCGCCTGCCGAGTAGTTGGACTGAGAGGGCTTGGTCAGCTTAAGAGATTCCAAGCTACTGTCGGATCTTCCGCAGTTTAATCAACAGTAGATCAACTAAAGGTAATTGCAACTTGGACCTAATTGAGGTGCTAGGGGGAATCATACCTAAGTGAGTTCACAACTTGTAATTAGTAGAGTAGTCAGTAGAGTAGTTTATAAATCAATCCTTAATCTAGTTTGCTAGATAATGAACTGAAGCTGAGTAATAGTAACTCTAGAGACCCGTGGATTCGATATTTATTACTTGTGTCACTATACTGTGGTCCCTTTGATTGGTTACACTTGGCCATTGTTAGGTGTTGTGTTTTAGCGTGTCAACAAGTGAAGCTGAGCAGAAGCAGTCTAGCAGACAGTGGGAGAAAGCGAAAGGCCACCAGCGCTGCCAGGCTAGTCCTGATCCAAGTTAGTAGCTCCCTAATCACAATAAATCCATTCATCCCACAACTCTGATGGTTTTCTTGATAATCACAGTGAAATTATCCAGATGTAACAATAAAATAAACTACTGATGTTTTTATAATCTCTAATTGATGTTTCAGATCTGTAAATAAAATTGGGGATTGAAACTTAATGATATTCTTCTCACCTATTCTTCTACTTTTTTTTCTCTGAGTTGATTTCATTTACTCTTCATTACCATAAGCATGTCAATTCTAACCTTCTACTAGCAGATCTATCAAAACCAGATTTACTCATAATACTAATTGCTTAAATATATTTCATATTATCATAACCATAACAGAACTAAAGTGATAACATAAGCAAAAGGTCATCTGACATATTCATGCTCTTTTATCATTTTCATATGTGTGTTGATATACTAGTGTGTCGTCTCTTTCTTTATACTGCAAAGTTGTTTATGCAAGTTTAATCCTAGCACCCTACGTGACCAAGTAATTCATTAACAGATCCACATAAACCAGATTTCCCAGAACTAATCATTAACCCCAATCTCATACAAGTCACAGCCAAAACTCAAAGTCTCAAAACCCAGTTATAAATACACACTTTTACAGAAGTAAAACATCAATCTCAAAATCATAAACCAAAGCATATCACCAATACCAAAACCCCATATTTTCAGGAGGTAAAGCTTCACTTAGCATAGATGTCTCATATCAAACTCATGCATAATACAGAGCAGAAAGTAAAAGTCAGTGTCTGTCAAGTAGAGAAAACCAAATTAAGTAAAAACTACATTTTGCTTCTTTCGCCGCCGGCGGCACGACAACTCTCTTTCTCCTCCAACTGCGTACAACTCACCCTCTCTCTGGTGTCCTTCTTGGCTCGTCAAATCTAAGACAACCTTATGCTTACCAGAGGCGAAAACAAAGTTGCCGCCGTTCTTATCGCCGGGGAAGCACCAAGCCGCTCACGATTCTTGTTCCTCCTTTTTTTCACTAGATCAAACCCAAAAACGATCCCAGAAAAGAACAAGTCAGAACCAATAAAACTTACCAGAAATCAAAATAAAAAGCAACAGAAGCTTACCTAGAAATCACTGTCGCCGCCGCTATCCTCACGTCGGCGTAAATCACTGTCGTTTCTTGTCGTCGCTCTCCTCTTTCTTTTCTACCCTTCTCCTCGTCGCTAACAGAATGGAAGAGTGAAGAAGAGGGAATATCAGCACAGAGGAAGAACGAGAGGGATCGAGATGAAGAAGGTTTGGAAATTTAGAATATGAAGAGGCGAGGGAGATGGGATGGATTTTCCTCTCCTTTCTTCTGCTTAGGGGTGGGCAACGGGAAACAGGTATTTGGGTATATCCGTACCCGTCCTGTTTTTTAAGGGTTACGGGTACCCATATTACCCGTAATATTATGAACGGATGGGACTTGAGATTGTACGTTCCTAATATGGGTACCCGCGGGTTACCCGCAAATACCCGTTTGGGTAATGTGGGTACCCGTTTTACCCATTTGCGAACTCTAATCCATAAAAAGGGAATGTCCACTTCGCCACAAAGATGAAACTTTTCTTAGTAAAGAAACAAAGAACGCTATGTGAACATAATACTTGTAGACTCCCTTTTGTTAAATGAAACTTCTTATTTGATAATTTGGTGCTTAGAATGATTTATTTCTATGCGTTGTGATTGTTCATGATTTGTGTTGAATGAAACTTCTTATTTGATAATTTGGTGCTTAGAATGATTTTTCTATGCGTTGTGATTGTTCATGATTAGTGTCTTGTGATTGTTAAGCAAGTACAAGTTAAGTTTAAACTTTTGTTAAAATTTGAGTGGTTTAAACTTTGGGTATTTATGGGTAGTATGGGTACCCGTTATCCGTCCCGTACGGGTAATGGGTACCCGTTTCCCATATGGGTTTGGGATATGGGATGGACTTTGGCCTCCAAATGGGACTGGGTACCTGTTTAAAACGGGACGGGTATCCCGTCCCGTCCCGTTGCCCACCCCTACTTCTGCTTTTTTTTCGTTTGGTTTCAGACAGGGACGAGAGAGGACGAGAGAGAGGAAGGAAGTGAGCGGCTGAAATGAGAATGGGAGGCTAGGGTTTCTCCAAATGGGTAAATATACCCTCGAGCGCAAAAATACTAAAGTACCCTCGTGATTGTCGATTAATTACCCACTACCACTCTCTGAGTTTTCTTCCGCGAAAATCCAAAAATTTACCTACACTGAGTATCGAACCCGAGACCCAGAGCTCACAACTCATCTCAAATCAGTGCAATTAGCCACTAAGCCATCCCATTATACGTGGAAGTTTAATCTCCTCATCCCAATTTATTTATGTTTAAGCTTAATACGCAATATTTGTATCCACTAATCGTGCTAACATTCTTGCTTTAACAAAATTATGCTTGCCCCTAAATATTTCAAAAATATTAAAAAAAGCAGCTTGGTTCCCACGTGTGCTTTGGCTTCATTATTCATACCCATACGCGTTGTACTTAGAAAATCTCTTAACACGAATCATGGTCAATAGACCATGATGGTCGCTCTCGATGAAACCATTAAAAAAATTATCTTACCACTCAACTACTAAGTTGAAACGTGATAAATATATTTCCTAACAAAATAAATTGTTATCTTAATCACGATCATTAGAACTTATTAAGATCACATCAAACCTCTCAATTACAAGCGAACTACGTGTACTTTGATCGCGACTAATCGGGTACGTAGGCAACCAATAGGTTTCAAGTCCAACTAACCAAAAACTCTTTCTATAATTTTGAGAATTACGTTAATAAATGTATGATCAAATATTAATAACTAACACATAATTAACCGCATTATATAATTAAATACGTAAAGAAAGCCGCAAATAATAATACACACAATTCTTAAAAAAACTTATCGATTTAAGTAGTACCCATTTGGGGTGTTGTGGGGTGTGAATATACTTCCCCACATATAACCGTACTCCCGAACCCATAAACCTAAATTTCGCAGACCAAATGTCGGTTCTGACCCTAAGGTTAGAACCAGACCAAATGAGTGTTTGATCCAATCCAAGTAAGGTCGATGGCGACTCCGAGCGTGACGCGACGGATCCCCCGATCCGGAGGGGCAGTTGCGACACTATCGATCGCATTTCTCTTTAAGTCGACTGTTTAAAAAAAAAAATTATACAAATAGCAATTTGTAGCTATATACTTTATATATGACAGATAAAGGACTATCAGAGTATCAAATGGTCGACTTGTGATTGTTCAAATCGATAAATGTGATGTGAAGGTTGACATGTATAACTGAAATGTTGCCTTTTTTTTAACCAACGGAATATACATATACTTAATATGCTCCATATAAGTTTGACTTAGAGTTTAGAGTGACTATAGCATTAACAAATTCTTTTTAATTAGCATAGTATTTTTCTTCTTATCACCAATAAATAATAAATACATAAAAGTAAAATGGTATAAATTTAAACTAAAAAGTAAAAATAGAAATAGGATTATGCAAATAAACAAAAAAGAGCCCCGTAGGCAGTAGGCTTGCCTTCCGTCCTTGGTGGAATAAATGAAAGAGATTATAGAAGTATAAAATGCAAAGACGTTTACAGTCTTTCGTGAGATGCGCTCAATGCTGCATTTTATGTTTTAACCCACTTCTCATGCGGAATCTCCTTATATGAGTGGGTAGATTTCTATTTCTATTTTATTTTCATAGATTGTATAAATGGGTAGAAATCCTAGCTACCACCTAGTAATGGAAATTTTTAAACCTGACGCATGTGACCCGATCCGTATTAGTAGCATGGGGTGGGACATGGATGATTGGATATAGCTTTCGACCTTTCTGTCTTGTCTCGCCTCATTCTCGATCCTTTTTATGGTGATTTACATCCATATTTACATGTATTTCTCCTCTTTTGACCTTACTAAAATTCTTTTTTTCGTCACAAAGAAATTTTATTACCCTATCTTTGAACTACTTAGACTTAATTATAATTTTTTCTACTAAATTTCTCATCCATTTATGAAATTTTTTCTCTTCATATTTCTGAAAAATAATTAAATATTAATGTTCTTCTTTCAAATAACATATAAAAGTAGATCAACCGACACACCCATAGTAAGTCATAGTAGTCTAGTAGAAGTCATATGCGGCGTAGTCGAAGTCGCAATTGTTGGTGTTGTAGCATGAGTCGTGGATAGAGGGACACCGACTACGTTATGTGGAAGGATAGAGAGGGAGATTTGAGTTTAAGAAATAATAATTATTATTATTTAATTAATTATATTTTTACTTTGCAATCATTATTGTATCCTTTCTCTCATTATGGTTAGCATGATACTAATATACAACAGGATTAACATATATTATGAAAATACTTTTTTTCAACCTCCAGAGACAAGTTGAGGTTGTACCATAAAATTAAATGTATAAGTTGAATTTGTACTATTTATGAATTTGTAGAAAATGTATACAAATTAAAATAAACTTGTACCATAATATTAAAAGAATTTGCATGAAAAAGTATAGGTACAAACTGAATTTGTACAGATAAAGTTACAAGTTCAATTTGTACCATAAAGTCTTTTTTTTAAACAAAAACACCGATAATATGAAGCATTACAACATTTCTCATAGTAAAAAGGGCATGTTTGGATTTGGATTATCGGTAATTTAAAGAAGAAATAAAAACAATACTACAAATTGACCAACAGTGAAATCATCACCATGGATTGCTATACCATACCGGACCGACTGTTTGAACTGGAAAAATGAAAAAAAATCGGGCCTAATTAGAAACGCGGTACAGACAGATTGTGCATTATAATGTGACTCGCAATTTTCTAATTGAACCGAAAAAATTGCATAATATCAATCGAATTTGACTCAAAACTATTAAACCACGATCTTACCTGTAAATGCCCTAACATACATAAACTTGTTTTTGTATGACTTTCAATATGATCAGTTCGTAACACCATGGAATTACAATTGCGATTGAACTGTACTCGTACGTCCAATAACAATACCAAAGTGCAACCCAACTCTTTCTCTTACACCCACTAGAGATGTACTCGAAACAAGATTGTCG